ATCAAATAATCTCCCTTAGTATAGTCCAACACCTCTCAGCTTTCAAATATTTGAAATATAGTTTATACATGTCACAAAAAGATTTGATTGATAAATTGTTTTCTCTTATTAAACATAATGGGTGAGTTGTAAAAGCCTAGTAGAGATGAGATAACATTTTGGGTATAATATAAGTTCTCTTACTTTATCAAAAAAAAAAAAGCCTCTTAAGAAAATGTATAAGGGTTTAAGAAATGAGAAAAATTACCTTTTCCAATATACTTTTTCAATCCATGGCTCTATTGGTAAGGGTGTTTGCTTCATTTTGAAATTTTCCATGAAAATTACATCTTCATCATGATTCTTCAATCAAATAATTTCCTAATTTGATACACAAAAATTATAATAACAGTCAAACACAACTCTTACAAATATAAATTTTGTGAATATTTGAAAGGAATCCAATTACTCAATTCCCCTGCCTACTATCAACGTGTTGGGAAAAAATATATATAGATAAATCGATCCTCCTGTAAGTTCTTCAAACATGAACTATTTGATTTTCTCCTTCCACAAGCTAAAAGTAAATAAGTAAGTAACAATAATAAAGGAATAAGAGATAATGATAGAAACGCTTAACACCATAGAGATTATACCGGTTCACCCCTATCTTGGGACTACGTCTAGTCTTCTGCGAAAAAGCAGGTTCTAACTATAGTTGGGAATATTACAATAGAGATCTCACCTAACATATTACTATCTTGCTTCTAAGTACCCTAACAATGGCTACATAGGATAACACAATTGGAAATACCCTCACTAAACCCACGAGATACAAACTTCTTTTTACACACACTACCCACAACCACTCAAGTCTCTCTTATTTGGATTCTGTACAAATGAAACCTTAACAAAAGAGTTCTATTTATAAGAGGTCAAATATCTCAATCCTTATAGGAAAACAATATTGTAATCCTTATAAGACAATAATACTCTACTCCTTGTAGGAATTGGTAGTAGTGTTGAAAATCCTTTTCCTCGTAGAACACGGGTCATATGTTTTGGCTCCATTATCCCAACAATCTCCCACTTGGAGACAAAACATCGATCTTGCCTCCCACTGCAACAATAGTCTTTGATAATCTTGGAAAAACTCCAAAGCTTCTTCTGCAACAACTTCTGATCTTCTTGAAAAAATCTTCAAGGCTTCTCCTGCAAGTCTGAAAACTTGTAAAACAAAATGTCATAGATCACTAGTCTGATCTATCTTTGCTTGAGGTCGGGCAATTTACGTGGTCTTGTCTCCCAGACGTAAGAGATACAGCCACGTGATCCCACTTAAACTAAGTGGCGATATCTGAAGCTTCCTTCTTTGTTTTCAAACACTTATTCTTGAAGAAAGAAATTCCCACTGATGACTTGACAACTCTATTAAAGCCTATTGCCAAAATTGAAACTCCATTATTTACCTCAGTACCTACTGGGTTCATCTTCTCTGATGCAACTGTTCGCTGACGCGACTTCATCAACTCACCCATCCGTTTGACAATTGGGTATAATCTCTGACAACCTAAAGAACATGTTCTCGTTCTTTGACTTCTTAATTGTTGTTCCTGAATTGATGGTAGATCTTCCTGATCTGTTATGGTTGTCTTTGTTGCTGGCTCAGTCCTACCTCTTTGGACACCATCTGCAACTTGCATCCATTGTTTCAACGATCCTCTGACAACACTCAATTGTGACGTGTAAATTGTAGATCTTCTATGGCCAACTGCCACCAACTTGGATCGTTTGGTGAGCTTCCACTGGTTCCCACCAAATTCACTCTGATAACCATCATCGTTCAACTTACTTGTAGAGATAAGGTTCATTCTGATACTAGGTACATACTTGACATCTCGCAGTAATAACTCAGTCCCACTATTGGTCTTCAATCGTATATTTCCGCTCCCCTTTCTGCGAATTTCTTCAGCAATTGCTGCATCACAAATTTCTAAAAATTTCAAAGATTTATCTCCTAACGAATTGGACACTGCTGTCTTCATCGTTTCCCAACTTTCAGGTAAAGATGTTAGCAACTGAATACCATTCATTTCGTCACTAAAAGTAATCTTAACTGATGTCAATTGATTGATTAATTTTGTGACCTCATTTATGTGGGAGTTGACAGAAGTATTTTCTTCCATTTGAATGTTAAAGAATCTCCTTACGAAGATATACCTTATTATTATCTGAGGGTTTCTTGTACCTATTATCCAGTGCTTTCATCAGATTTATTGCTGTCGTTTCGTTTGCTACGAGACTTGCCACATTCATCGACAAACACAATCTGATAAAAGCAACTGCCTGTTCATTCGTCTCTACCCAATCTTCATCTTTCATCTCTATTGGTCGTTCCTTTAAAGCTTTATTCAACTTCTTGCAGGTCGAAGTAATCCTTAATCTGCCTCTTCAATATTCGAAATTGGCCCCATCGAACTTCATGATTCCTTTAAAACCTGACTTCTCTACTGATCCCATGATCATTTGAACCAAACGCTCTGATACCAATTGTTGGGATAAAAAAGCTTAACACCACAGGGATTATACTGGTTCGCCCCTATCTTGGGACTACGTCCAGTCTTCTGTGAAAAATCAGGTTCAACTATAGTTGAGAATATTACAATGGAGATCTCACTCAAGATATTACTATCTTGCTCCTAAGTACTCTAACAATAGCTACCTAGAATTACATAATTGGAAATACCCTCACTAAAACCCACGAGATATAAACTCTTTTTTTTCACGCACTGCCCACAACCACAAGTCTCTCTTATTTGGATTCTGTATAAATGAAACCTTAACAAAAGTGTTCTATTTATAAGAGGTCAAATATCCTAAGACAATAATATCATACTCCTTGTAGGAATTGGTAGTAGCGTTGAAAATCTTTTTCCTCGTAGGACACAAGTCATCTGTTTTGGCTCCATTATCCCAACACAACGTTCCTCTTTGACACCAATAGCCTGCTCCAGAGACGGTAGTTTACCCTACCATATTTTTTAGATCAATATCTAATGAATTTCTTTTAGAGTTGTTATTAATATATTTTTACTCTATTTTGAAACTGGAAAATAGAGGTTTGGATTTCAAAATCGAAATCCAAGTGAAACAATCTCTAGCAGAAGATTTCCCCTTGAACCACCTTGCAATCCATATTTTACACATGATTTAAAACAAAAGAACGTAATTGAGAGTGTTCAACTTAAGACGTAAATTGAAAGCTTCAAAAGATTAA